TTGCAATAGCAAGCTTTACTTTAAAGCACACCTTGTGTAAAAATTACGTAGTCTATATTACCCCTTCAGCATTGTAAAGGTAGGTATGCAAACATAATACTTTTGTATTTTTAGGTTCTAGAGTTAAGAGATTGACCCCCATTTTCTGCATGTAGACTGGTAGCTGAAAAATAGCCTAGATTTTCTGTTCTGCTGGTAATGTGATATGTGATGTCAGCTATCTCTCTTCTCTTGATATATCTATGTGTACTTAAAGTCTCATGAGGTTTCAGAGAGGAAGTGAGAGGTAGATGTAACTAGGGTGCTCTCTCTTATGTATTCTGAGGCTATTTAAATATAACAGCTCCAGAACACACTCCTACACATATAATTCAGGCAAACTGTAGGCCAGGACGGTACTGGCAACTGGTATATATACATTTGATCATATCATGGTAGGGTACTGTTTTTTTAATGTCATCAGAAAGCAATGGGTGGTTTTTTTTAAAATAAGCCATCAGAAAAGAGTGTTGTCCTCAAAGTGTTTCTTATCATCTTAACTCTGCATTCTAAAGACGTTCTACTTTCTGCACTCTGTTTTTAGCTTGGGGTGATCTTAGGAAACCCTTTTGTACAATACAAAAGGTAACTTTTCTGTAAGGGTCTGTGTCTAGTCAGTGCATTGGGCAAGTCTACACATTCAAATAGAAGGTGGAAGTCTGCCAGCTTGGCTACAGGCAGAAGTGTCCCAGCCTCCTTGGCTGGTCAGCTTGCTTAGCTGTTGGTGTGTTTGTATCCATATGAATATGGTGATCTGTCTAAATTCAGATAGCGCACGTATGATTAAGAGTGTTGTCCTCAAAGTGTTTCTTATCATCTTAACTCTGCATTCTAAAGACTTTCTACTTTCTGCACTCTGTGTTTAGCTTGGGGTGATCTTAGGAAACCCTTTTGTACAATACAAAAGGTAACTTTTCTGTAAGGGTCTGTGTCTAGTCAGTGCATTGGGCAAGTCTACACATTCAAAAAGAAGGTGGAAGTCCGCCAGCTTGGCTATAGGCAGAAGTGTCCCAGCATCCTTGGCTGGTCAGCTTGCTCTGTTGTTTGTATCCATATGAACATGATGATCTGTCTAAATTCAGATAGTGCACGTATGATTAAGAAAATATCTATTGTCCATTATAAAAACTCATGGAATTTTAGTTTATTGTTAACTTCCCCCCCAGTTTCTGAGGACAGGGAGTCCTTTAGTACGGGGTGTTTTAATGAAGCAGCAAGAATGGCGTTTGTCCAGTCTGCCAGGGCAGGCAGCCCAGGAACAGCGCTTTAAGTAATTGTATTAGATCCTAATAGCTTCCTCTAAGAGCCTTTATCCAAGCCCCTTTGTGTCTAAGGAAGTGACTTTTTATGCTTTAAACCCATGCAAACCTCTAAACCCAGGAACAGCGCTTTAAGTAATTGTAATAGATCCTAATGGCTTCTTCTAACAGCCTTTATCCAAGCCCCTTTGTGTCTAAGGAAGTGACTTTTTATGCTTTAAACCCATGCAAGCCTCAATATTTTACTTAATATTGAACTTGCTAGGCAGAAAACCCCACTGTTTATAGTCAATGAAGCCTGATATTCAGATTAGCCATTTCTAGGGCTAATAAGCAAGCTATTGTCAAACAAAAGGTATGCAAGAAGCCAAGTACTGCCTTGGGGAACATGTACCAATGCCAAAATGTAAACAATAAATAAATACTAAAATAGCAGAATCTCTCCCTCAACAGAATTGTTAGCTCCCCCTAACAAATCCAACACACAGTGACAATATGGCTGCTATGAGCCCAACCCTTTTATAGAAATGGGGCTGAGTAATCTGTTCCTTTAAACTATTTGCCCTTGAAACTCAGATTACTCAGGGCAAAGGCTATGCACTGCATTATAGGGTGTTCCTTTTTTCTGGAATTGAACCTGCAAAGTATTTTACCTAAAGTGATTTGTGAACTTCACACATTTTGGGGATTCGCCATAAATCCATGGTAGCAGCAAACACAAAGCTCATCCCTATAAATAAGTAGGGAAAGTGGGGGTTTTTGAGGATTTTTACATTGTCTGACCATTACCAAGCCAAACATCAAAAGTGAGGCAGGAATTCAGGTCCTATTCAGGTCTCAGCAATTCCACCTGAATTAAACCTTCAGTTCTGTTTGGGTTGATTTATATTTTAACAGACCCACTAGACATACTCCATCATACAGATAATCAAAATGGTAATATTCTCTGAAAACAGCAACAGGCTGTAAGTGTGGTGTTAATTATGTAACTGTGCACCTAAGAGGACCCAGCTTGCCAAAACGTGTTCTGTCGAGATCTTAGCGGTGGCTACTTTACAACATGCACAGGGACCGTGAGGAACAAAAGTAGCCACCCTCCAGAAGGAAGGACAGTGTCAGCACCAATTTAGAGATGATTTGAGAAGCTCCAACTGAGTGATACACAAATAAGATACATTTTTGTTTATAGTTAAGGTACTTGAATGCATTTTTAAGATTTAACTCCCGAGTTTAGGGTCACTTTAAATTTGTAGCTATCTTAAAGTATCTAAATCAAAGAACAAAAATGTAAAGCTGTTCTATTTTATTCGTTCAACCCATAGGCTGAGCGAAAAAAATTGAACAGATTCCTTGATCAACGTTCAAATGGGAAACCCTATTGTCTCCTTTGTATTCTGACAGCAGCCACTGTCAGAATACCCAAACAAAGTCGGCAGTTCATTGCCGGCTCTGTTCATTGATTTTCTGACAGGCATTTTCGCTTAGCTGATCGAGGGATGCCAACCAAAAAAGGTGCAGACAACGGCACCCACTCTGCGCAATTCGTCCAGTTCCGTAAGAACCAGCTGAAATTTGCATAATGTATGGTAATTCAATTTTTTCCTTGGTATTTTCACCTGGTAATCCTGCCAGAAACACACTTCCTGTACTAGAGTGCTCTCCTGACTTGGACTACAAAGACCTCTCCATCTCCTCATCTTCATTACACAGGGAGAAGGGTTTAACATAAGAAAGCTTGGAAAGCTTCTAGTATTGTTTGAGATTTCAATTCAGTGCAAAGGGAGTAGCAAGGACACTGGATTTCTGTCATGATTAACAGGTATTTTTCTGTACTTGCAGAAAATATACATAGTCTGGAAAAAAATACAGAAAACCAATGCAGTTACCAAATATAAGGATAGGTAAGCTATTGTACAATTAATTTTTGTTCTTGAGTTTAGATATACAGGCAGTCCCCGAGTTACATACATCCGACTTACATGCGACTCCTACTTACAAATGGAGGCTGTTACTGTACAGCAGGGGTAGTTGTAATGCTACTGCGCTCGTGCCGACGAGGAGTGCCCGACTTTTTGGGTCTTGTTCGTAGTACTGTACGTACATTACAACAAGTTGGCTCTTGTTGGCTCTTGTTAGACGTGCAGACGAGGGGTGCCCGCCTCTTCTTCTGGGTCACACTGAGGTTTTTACTGCTGTCTGTGTCCTCATTAGAAAGATTTAATCTCACTTTCTGTCCTTGAGACAACAGGAAGTGAGAGGAAATCTACCCCTAGGAAGGGAAATCCACTCCTTATCATGGGGAAAAGGTGTATCCACTGATGCCTTATCACCAATCCTTATTTCCATGACAACCCAAAATGTTCAAAATTCAATTGTCACAGGGACAGAAAGTGAGGTGAAATCTTCTGAACAGGGGCACACACAGCAAAACAAACTTTACAGGAGGTTAACCCTACCCTAAGCTATCCGAAACAAACAAAAATAAAAAGATTTTGGCTGGAGTTACACTTAAAAAATTTACCTGTTCCAACTTAGAAATTAATCTTAAGAACAAACCTACAGTCCCTATCTTGTTCGTAACCCAGGGACTGTCTGTACAATTACTTTAATCCCATTTAACGATCTTAGCAAGAAATGTTTACAATCTACTGTAAAGTTTTGTTTTCTGGTATAGCCAACATACTGGTGTAGCTGTGTAGGTAGATGAGCACATTTTCTTATCAGTATATCCTTTATTACATGATTTATTTAATGGTTCAGCTTAGTAAACAGCAAGAGTGGTCTTTTTTTATTGTTTTACAGCAGCAAGAAGTGTTTGTTTTATGAGGGAATGCAAGTTTAAAATTGAAGTTTAGCATTAAGGAGGCATTGGGGTTGATTTACTAAAGGAGTAGAACATGTTCACTCTGCAATGTAAATTTTCTCTTACCCTAGTGAATGAGATGAAGGTAAGCAAAGCTTCACTTTGCAAGGAATGCTCGATCACATGCAAGAAAAATGTTGAAGTCACCATAGCTTAACCTAATTGACTAAGCTGAGTAAAAACAGTCTCTACTCCTTTAGTAAGTCAAGTCCATGGCGTGTTGTCTCATGTTTGGATATATGTGATATAAACCCTAAAATAAGTAGAGGATTGTATTAAAACCTTTGTGCAATCTAAATCTTGCATGTTCTATAGTAATTTCTACTTCATACATCTTTATTTGAAACCAGAAAGAGTTAAGTTGTCTGTGGAAAACTGGCAGTTGGAGACTGAAAGGGGTAGATTTATTAAAGGAGGGGAGCACGTTCACTTTAAAATTGAATTTTCATTTAGTTTAGTGAATGAGATCATGTTGTGTTGAGTTCAATTAGCCAATTATGTACAAGCAAAATTTTTGGAATTTTCCTTGCCCATTATTGGGTATTCTTTGCTAAGTGAATTTTCAGTTTTTGTATCACCTCTTTAAATAAGAATAGTAATAATTTTAACAAAAGAATGAACATGCTTTACTCCTTTAGTAAATCACGATCAAAGTTACCAAAGACACTTTGATAATGCTCCTAAAATATCGCATTGTTCATTTTCAGAGCACAGTAATCAATCTTCAAACCAGGACTAGCTTTTTTGAGGATGCATCTATCCAAATGTACATATTTTATTTTATTCATAAAGCGTGAGACACAGCGCAGCCACAGGAAACTGAAAGGAAAAAAAGGAGAGAGATTTTTTAATCTTTTATTCTTTAAGGAGTCTTGTGCCTCAGTTCTGGTGAATTAACGCCAATTTGTCTGAAAAAGTTGAAATTGACATTCCAGATAACCCAGCCGTGTGCATGGCTTAAAAGGAAACTTCCCTATGTCAAAGGATAAAGAAGCTCCTGTCATATGTCAGATCCCGCCACCTGCCTGACCCGGGGGTACGAATCAGGGGTTAACCCCTTCATTGCTAGAGAGTCTCTGCAATAATTGGGGGTCTACTCCAGCAGGGAAGGGGTTAAAGACCAGCTTTAAGGCTCCCTTATCTTTAAATGTGTAACCTTGAAATAGAACAAAAAAAAGGTAAGCAACACGGGAACAGAAAAGTCTTTGCTTTCTTTTTAAAGTCGGCGTTGAAAGCCGTTCAATTCAATCTTTGTTCAGGAAGAGTAAAAAAAATGAAAGTCAGGAATTGAAGTGATGAAGAAAGCAGAGAGGAAGAGAGAGAAATTTGAACTGGTTGAACAATTAATTTTTGAGCTAGTGGTGACACGCTGTCATCTCCTCCAAATGCTAATGCGTTGTGCTCCAAAGGCCTTTAGCACCGTTAATAGAATCTGTTCTAAGTTAGCACCATTTTTTTTGTCTTTTTTGCCGCCCAACCCCGAGAGACAAATATTACAAAATAGAGTGTGAAAGAGGAGATACAAAATAAAATATTACACAAATAAATTCGGATGAGACAAAAAAAAAGTAACTTGTGTGGCTTAGACGATCATGTCTTGATCCACGTCCTCTGCAATAAGAGAAGAGATATATTTTAGTTTTTCTAATATAGTCTTACAGCTTATAAACATTACAGTAAAACATTAATAGTCAACATTAAAGTCAAACCACACTTCTCTCTGAAGCCCAGCCCCATACTTTAAACCTTGACAACAACTAGATACAATAAACAAAGCAAGCTAGAAAAGGTTTCCTTTCTTAGACTCCACCATTGTCCCAATCGGTATCCACAATGGTTGTATAAAAACTGTTCATTATTGCTTGCTGATACATTTGAGTATGTTAAAAGATCACATTAAACGATTTAGTATTTAGCAGTGGCTCGCGGTATACTGTGGCGTCTCAGTATACAGCTCGCGGTATACTGAGGTTAGGGTGACGGGAGGATGCTAGTTTGTGTCCTCCCGTTACCCTAAGGAGAACTATGGGGAAAAGCCTCAACCCCATAGTTCTCCTTTAAGTAGTAAAATTACTTCTAGATACTAATTGGCTACTACTGATAATACATGAGAATATTTTATGTGTTTTAACCACAGAGACAAATCCCTTTGAAAATGCTGTAGACTACATGTATACAGTATTATTAAACTGCATTTTTATCTAATCCACAAGTGAGGGCTGTTGCGGGAATACATTACGGTAATAGAGGGCCTCCTCCAGCAAATACTTAGGCAATACTGCATTGTAAAGTGACTGTTTGACGCACTGATATATCTTTTTCATTACTGTAACTGGCCTGTATAAACAATGGAAGAGGGAGGGGAAAATCTAGAGTGTCGGGTCAGGTGGTGAATACTAGGAAGCCAAAAGGTGAACAGATGGAACCAGGAGGCCAGCAAAGGATGCCAAGTGGTGACATCTTAAGTGTGATGGAATAACCTTCATCCTTCTAGGGATCAAAACTGAAGTGGTTGGAGTCGGCATACAACATGGCATAGATGACATTCATGGTCCATCCTAACTGCTTAGAAGTTCTAGAGTAGCCAGTCCTCCAAGGCTGATCATGAACATAATGTATTATCATGATCTTCCATACTATTGTGAACCTAAGGTCTTATTTTTACTCTCATCAATGTGGCTGGACCCGCATATTTACACATTAACAAGGTTTTGGTACAGATCATGAACTAGTGCACCTCCCCCACAGAGAAGGAGGCACCAAGTGGTCTGGTAATGAGGCAAGGATGTTGTCATCCTTGAAACTAGAACTTTCCTGCATGTCATTTGGGTAGAAGGAGTCACTTCTATAAATAGATATCAGATGTAACAATACGCACCGTCCTTGATTCCAAAGCACTTAGCCCATTCATCCAATGCAATGTATTTGTCGTTGTCAAGGTCACACTCCTCGAAGAAACGGGTGGTGCAGTGCTCCATGGGGATGAGGGGGGCACGAAGAGGAGACAGCTCAGTGTGGGAGAGGTATCTGTAAGTATATATAGTACAGAAGTATGTATGAAAATACACGTGTCTGGGTCCTTCTTATTGTACTTGTCCCTTTTCTAAAATGTTACCCATCCTTTGTTTACATTACCTACTCAGCTTTGCTTTTCTGGTTAAAAAAATCTAGAAGCTGGTAGGCTTTTAGAATCCAGCCCAGCTTTTATAAATGTTTTATAAATCCTATTCACATTGTTATGGTTTAGTAACATTATTATAACATGCTTATTACCACAACACACAATAACACATTTTAAGTACAATGGGATGAGGCAGTGTCATTTATTTTTAAGGGCATCCAAATTTATCTTGCCAACACACCTGCATTGCACAAAACATGGTTAAGATGTGTTTGGCTTTTAAGCAAGTCTGAATGTCAAGTGGCACTTCTGGAATGTGCCCATGTTGTAACAGAATTAAGTCCTGCTCCTTCCTGTGAAGTTATAACCATTCAACCATTTAACCCATGGCAGGTACAGAGGTACCAATTACCCAGCGATATACAATCTGGTATGGTGCGGAAAATGTTCTTCCTACTGACATAATGTAGAAAAACAAGTTCCAGCTTGTGTTCCAAAAAACACACATATTAACACACTAAACAGAAAAAAATGTAATATAACATTGCTCCTTATAAGCTACCTTGTCTGTAATTAATGTTTTACATACCCATCAATAGGGTGCTGGTCCAGCTGTCCAAATTGCCAGTGAACTGGGAAGATGTACATGTTGTAGTTCTTCTCAAAGTCACGAGCGAGCAGCTCCATAGGGTGCTCTCCAGCCTCCAGACGCTTCTCGTTTTCATGGATTTTCTTTATCTATTATATAGGATCATATTATTTCAAAGCTATTACTACAGGTAATAACACATCTAACAAACAATTGTCATCTTCAATATTAAGGTTCACAGGCTTTTATGTGTAAGGTCTTCAAATGTTAAACCATGAGATCTTAAATATAATTTTGCCAATTCCCTAAAGTGATTCTGCGTTCCAGACATTTATACTGTCTAGCTGACACTCTAGCTGATATACAATATGTTGCATAAACACCCTTTACTTTGTGCTCTACAAAAAAAATAAAATGCTCAGACACTTGAGGTGCCATCTTTATGGCCACAATTTTGCTTTACTGTGTTTCTGTTTATACAAAGAATGCAGCCTTTTGTGGCCTGCACCAGTGCCTATACAGATGGAGTCTATTATTATTCTAGGAACCAGAAATTTGGCAATACCAACTGTCAAAGAACCAGTGATATTTGCAGCCACTGTTCAGCGGTGACCTTTGTACTGTAACAGTAACAGCGATATGTTGCTTTATGGTATGAGTAAACATATTGTAATATATAATTTAACAAAGGATGAACCACACTGGAAATGGCAAATTCTGCAGAGTAATCATTGTCAACACCACTGGATTTTATATTAAAGATTTGTTCCATAAAATTTTCCATAAAATTGGAATTCAAAATTCCATAAAATTTTAGCTACATGTAAAATGTCATATTTTATCAAACTAATAAAACAAAGTGATCAGCTTCATAAAAAAGAAAGGGCGAGGCATTTTGGGGGGTTTATATGGGAGAAGTAAACAACACAGAACACAAAATTAAACTTGTGGTTTTGGAATTAGTCCAGTCCAAATAAATGTCTGGAATATAGCAGAAAACCTCCAGTTAATCCTTGTATTATATACACTGCACCACAACTAATACCCCATACTCGGAACTGAAGGAAGAACGATCAGCCTGTGGTATATTGACTCCTGCAATGTTCTGGATACATTTCCTGTAATGTTCTTCCCAAGGTCCTTTTATTAGTTTTCCTATTATGTTCACATATGCTGTATTGCTGGATCCTTTGCTAATGCAGAGAAGATAACCTTACCCTTCAAGATCCCTTTGTTCTTCTTTACATCATGTGTGCTGCAATATGTTGCTCTTGTAGCATGGTCATTGGTCTAGAATACTAGATTATCCTACCATACATTCTGGCAAGCCATGATACATTATAAAAAGATTGGAATATTGTAGTATATAAGACCAATGTACACTGTAATACATCCTACACCTTCAATATTTTGAAGGCCAAATGTGGGCTAGCTTAGCAGCCACGCAACTAGCATTTACAGGAGGACAACAATTACATGACAGATGTACTTCAAGACAATATTTGGTTGCCTTCGTGTAACATTCCTTACCCTAAGCTTCTTCTTCTCGTTGAGTAAATTGTTGTTCTCATCACGCTGATACAGGCTGACCAGGACGTTCTTCAGCCAGTCGCGCATACGCAGAGGGAATTCGCTTAGCTCAGAGTCCATGCAGGCAGGGATGTCTGAAAAACCACAGTAGAGAAAGGTTATAATTGCAAAATGGGTAAGTAAAGAACTCAGCCACGTGAACAATCTTTATTTGTGTTGTTAACATAGCCCAAATGATGGCATTATGAGTAACCATGTCTGTACAGCTGGTTCACAGCCCAGCTACAACCTTTTTACACAAAAAGATGTCAAGCAATGTCATCACTACAGGGAATTAAGCAATACTTTTTGCTGAAATCCCGTTGGCATTGCTTACATCCTCCAATATTCCCTAAAAGGAGGTTTTTATTAGGCCAGTTCTTGACTTACAGACTGAAGCTCTCAGAATGAACAGAAGACTCTTTATTAGGGTAGCGACGCCTATTATTCAGCCCGTTGTTATCTGAATACTTACAGAAGAAGAATTTCAGTCAAAATGGAGCTTTTGTTTCCTCCCCTGATCTAATTCCTCCCTTAGTGGTTTGGAATGCTTCATTGATTGTATTTCTCACTTATGATGACAGGAACAGTTGACATACCACAGTCATTAGGAAAGAATCTCACCCTGTAGCAAGATATCGATACTCAGGATCCCACCTTCTTAGCTGCTGTGAGAAACCTAGATGAGTTCTACAGCGGGTTGTTTTAATGGGCCCAATCAAAACTTATTATATGTCTCATGTGGTATTTTGGTAGGATGAGTCAGCCATTGGCTTATTGTGTCATGAGGGTTTCAACAAAAAATGTTATGTCTCACTGTAGATATACAACAAAATTGCTTGCATATGCAAAATTAAATAAATGAATTAGTTAGCCAGAATAAGATCCTCTCAATATAACTGTGGCAGGTCAACAGAGGTTGGAACAGAGAACATGCCACCTTTATTCTTAGGTTAAATTATTATGCAAGGGTGGTTCTCCCAGCGTTCCCAAATTAAAATAACAGAAAATGTTTAGTAAACATAGTCTTTAAGGAATATGACCAGCTTCTCGTCTTAGAAGTGATGCCTTAACAGCAAAGGTCCTAAAGCTGGCTGGATTGTATGCCAAGTGATCCACTAAGTGATATTGTTCAATACCTCCATTTTGTAGTAGAATACAATAGAATAGTAGGATATTTTTGTCAGGAAAGGTAAAGGGTAACTGTACCTTTATTTATTAGTTATCTTTCAAATGCCCTCTTGTTCCCTAGCAAGCCTGCCCCTGCCCTTGCTCCTCAGAAATATCACCAGTGGCTTTACCACCCTGCGTACACAGTAGAATCTGCATTCATTCACAAAATGGCCATCCATCAGTTGATTCAAAAATAGATGACGTGTTCACAGGAATGAGTTAACCTGGCTGGGAGAATTTTGGTGGAAACCAATGCACAGTAAAGACCTTGTAGTTGGCAGGAAACAGGTAAATATGACATGTAGGGGGTAGCGGGGGGGGAGGAGGGGGGCATTTGATGGATACCTGTACTAAACATACAGTTAAATATGTAACAACATTTTTTTTAACAAAGAGAATAAGTTTTGCACAAACATTCATCTGATCCAAAGAAACTGGACAGAATGTTCTACATAAAGCACTGCAAGCCCAAACAAATCTGTGAATTGTAGGAATTAGTCCCTAAGGGCGGCCTCACTGCTTGTTGCCTGAGCCAGCAGGAAACTGACGGCTGACTCCCAGCAGCTGGAGATCTCATCTTCCCTCTTGGGACCTGCACTTGATGGAACCAGTAACTTACAATTCAATCACCCTAGGGCCCTTTTGTAACATACCACTGGAAAATTTCAGTAAGGGGCCTCAATTCCCAAACTCTAAATGGGAGTATTAATCATATTACTTTAATGATGAGGTTACTGTGTGCTAAAAGCAAGAATTCTAACTTTCATTGGCATAATATTTTTACTCTTAAAGGGAAAATGTACCTTTACTCATTGAACACATTTAATTTAGGGTAAAATGTTTGATCACCTTTGTGGTTATGTACTGTATCTACAGATATTTTTGGATAGAGCTAAATATAAAAAAAACTGATTATGAACTTCAGATTTGGCAATGATGCAAGTACAGGGATCAGGGTGAAATCCTTAAACCTGGATGTTAAAAAACAAACCAGAAATTATATATGCCATATTACTGTTCTCATTTGTAAGGAACAGCATGCACATTTTTTGTATATTTACATATATTTGTGTTTATTTTCACATATATGTGACTTAGAAGAGTACGTTGTTATTATATTGATAAACAACTCACATTTGCATGGCCCAATGTAGTCAAGGTGCAGTTTGTGGCCCTTCTTTGTACCCTCCAAGGTGCACTTGGTGGCAAAGAAGTGGCATGAAGAGTCGAAGGTCTTGTTGTCAGTAGCACAGACCTGCAGGAGAAAATGGAGAAAGAAAATTATGTAAGTGACTCCATTTCAGTAGACACCAATAAGCATAGCTGGGATCCATTTAACTAAACATTATAATAATTTACAGTATGATGCCACCTTCACTGGCTGTATAGGTATTGGGGTTTTTCAATGGGATTCACTTAGGGGAAGTGACAGTTATTATACTCTGTATTTTTAGCACATTGATCCAAATTTAGAAAGTGGCAGCAATTGGTATATGCTAGTTGTTTTATGACAACATGATTTTTCTTAGTTCTCATCTGGTGTTGTAGTCTGCTTTTACAATTGTATAATATATGCCATGATTTGTACACTAGTAAATTGTCCAAGTTTATTTTAAATTGGAATCATCACACTAAAGTGTATTCTTATTCCTGTTTTCTTACCTTCTCAAACTCTCCTACGCTTTCGGGGCAGGTAGAAGGATCTTGGCACACACACATTGGTTTGTTAGTCTCATCGACTTCGCACACCTTTCCGTGTTTGCAGTGGTGGTCAAGGCATGGATCTGTAAAAAAAATATAATTTTTATGAAAAAGCAGCAAAGTTCATCATAAAACATAAAAGGAACTCATCCAAAATATATTTTTCTTTAGTTGAGACTAAAGTGGGAAAATAGTATTCCAGCTTTTTTGCCCCTGTTGAGCTAACTGCACATGTTACAATGTGGTTTCAAATTCTAAGTAGCATAAGAATCTACCTAAACAAAACCATTTCATTAACAGCCAGGTAGACATTCATACTATATAGCTACATTAATGACTGCATACATGAGATTGGCTAATCAGTCATGTGGGGCCAGTTTTTGGAGGAGATTTACCCTCACTTCCTGGATTGGAAACTGAAGGCAATGCTTTGAGCTGGACTTCCTGTTTCTCCTCTATGGAATGCATTTTCAATATATGATTATGGAATATATACCAGGGAACAAGTGGAACTGCACTTTCAAAGTCCTAGCCTAAACTTGGCCATAGAAATTGGAGAATGGTTGGAGATGCACGCACGATCCAATCATTTCTTGGTGTCTGCAGGCACAGCTTCTCCCATGAACAGGAATCTGCTGAGTTTGAGCACAATCCTATTTAGGCAGTGGAGCCCAAGAGTAATCAGTATCAATAGGACAAAGTGCTATGACATAATCCCTGAAGATCAGTTTTGCTGGACTATCTGGTGGTACCCTAATGACAATGGACTAAAAATGGCCAGACTTGGAGACTATAATCTAATGCCTTTGAAAACTTTATTGTAATAACTCAAAAACACATTCATTCATTGTGCATTGATCATTAAGAATCATTAGCTCAGGCAGTCAAGGATGCTTTTTTTTAAAAGTTTACACAATACTTACTATCAGGTGTGGTCTCCTCCTCATCATCTTCAGCAATTGCTTCATCAAACTCACCAACCTCTACCTGCACAGGATTTGCTCCAACTGTCTCCTGTAATCAGCAAAGTGTAGATGTTAAAAAAAAGAAAACTCTGCACATGGTATTTTCTTCTTCAAGTGGTGAGCATTCTTGTCCTGAAGCACTTGGACCCTTAGTTTGATTCCTTTTGAAAACAGTTTCCATGTTTTTTTATATGCTATCTCTTGATTTGTGAAGGACGTCTCTGGACAATGTCTTGTGCAGACCAAAGATATACTATGTGCCATTGCTATGTTCCACAAATGTGCCATTCTACCCAATGTGCCATGCTACCATTGTGAGAGTCTGCTTCTGAGATCTGTTACTGCTTCTCCAATGAATGCACTGTATTCAAATCTGTCTCCTAAAAACAGCCATTAATGCTGAACTCCAGGCAAACAGATAAATAGACAGTACACAGATACAATTCAGAACTGTATTACTGTGTGTCTTAAATCTGCCTAGAGTTCAGTTTTAAGCAGCTAGACATGGGCCCCATTTCTCATATGGAGAGTGGATGGTGCAGGGGCTCATAAAACCAGAAAGAAACTAGGAACTGGCACTGAGTATGACTGATCTATTTGTAACTTTTCTCTCAGTATTTGTCTTGGCATTGCTGAACACAGATGCATGTGTAGCTTTACCTCAGTCACAACATCTTCGATCACCTCCTCCTCTTCTGGCAATGCATCCTGTTGCTGTGTAAGAGAGAAAAATAGGTTAGTTACTAAAAAAGAAATTCTAATTCTAATAACTACAGTGCCGTAACCATTATATAATAACTATATAGTAACCACTTACAGGTGCAGCTAGTGCTTTGCCAGCCAGGCACAAGACGAAGAAGATCCAGACTCTCATTGTGCTATCAGCCCTGAAGACAAAAGAAACATTTCATGAATTAAGAGTGTCCGGTAAGAACTGACACAGTGATATATGCAGTATAGTTAAACAGTCATCATAGACACATAACATACATATTAGTATGTTTGGCTTTAGCTTGTACTGTACTGAGACAATTAAAACCCCCAAAAAGTATAATGTGCCATAATCTTAAAGAAATCTTAACCTAAAAGCAAAAATGTAGTACATTGCAGATTTCCAATTCTTAGTGGTGACTGCATTTGTTTCCTTTGTTTATGTTAATTTTTACCTGCTGATCTGACCAGTAAATCTTTTATTTTTCAACTTCCGTTAACAGACCAAGCTGTCCAGCAAAAGTGGCAGATAGAGGGTTGGGACAAACTATTTTACACTGATAGGGGTGCTTACAATGGTCAGTTTTTATCCATATATGTAAAACCTATATCCAAAAAGCAAAAACAAAACTGTTTTTGTAACTGCATCAAAAGAGTTAGCTGGAATTTGGCTTTAATTTCTCTAAATCTGCTAGTCCATCTAAGACTACCCTCTCCACAGGGTGACAATCAGGCATTGCCAACTGTTTCCAGCTTTGTAAGGATAGTCTCGTCATGTCAATTTCCCAAGATCCTCTGTTGGCGAATGACATGACCATTGCCTAAGAATCAGATGAGTTTAGAATTGCCCCTATATTATATCATAGTCTTTTCTGCCATTTTTATTTATGTTGATATAATGCAGGCTATCTGTATTCGTTTTCCATCATACCTTCTGATTAAACTCATTCAAGGGCAGCACACACAATGAGGCGATTGTACTATACAGCACCCTCAGATACAGCTATGTATTTCAGTCTTAACTTACATACTGTATCTATGAATTTATTTTAATAGCTTCACTTTCCTACTATAAGTTTATTTTACTTTCAATCTGGCAGCCATATCATTAGCTAGCGCTACAGGTGATTTTTAGTAGCGTAGTTGCTCAACTAACATCTCTAGTGATCTATCGATAGAAGTAGCAGTTGGTTGACAAACAACTGGAACAAATAGCTCCTTAAGGAGTAAGCTGCACAGTTAGCACGGAGTACCATGTAGCAGCAATTAATCTACTTTGAGTGTACAATGCTCCAAGATGCAAGTGCATGTTAGTGTGGAAGGGATATAATCTCTTGCAGCAATGGAGTCCTTGGTTCAAATCTTGGCCAGGACGCTATTTGCATGGAGTTTGCATGTTTTTCCTGTGTTCATATGGGTTTCTTCCAATTTTCTCCCACATTAAAAAACACATTCTCTAAGGTAATTTGGCCCTAGTAAGTGTGTACAAATCGGATACCACATTCTGCATGCCAATCCCAAGCCAGTGTTAATGGTGGGTTGAGGAAAGACCTGGCGACCTACCTCGTAGGAAGCTCTGTGTAAAAAAACCTCTCAAGTATATCAGTCATGTGACCATAGAATTGCAAAGAGTCAGATACAACTGTATCTACAACTGCAGTAACAAGTACCGCAACACACAATAATGCATGGCACATTGTGTGGTGCATTGCTGTGACATCCATTGAAAATCACACCCCAACACACAAATGCAGTTGGTGCCAATAGACATGCTGTGCACTGTGGTATGCTGTGTTAAAAAAAATCACATGTCCGTATTTCAATCCCTTGCAGTGTGTTCCGGGCGCAACAGACCTCAAAGTTCTGAACAGGCCCTAAAGCAAAGGAATAAATGTGTAATGTAGTAACCAACAGCTATCATTTTTCATTGGCCAGAGTACACTAAAGTGGTGAAAGTCTGATAATTATCTTCACTTTATTAAACCTGTCATTCAACTCTGGGATAAAGCCAGGAAATGCCTAATAGTTAAAAAAGCGTCCAAATAATATGTAATGTTTATAATTGAATGTAAAATCAAATGTGACACCTATATTATAAATCCTAATACATAATCAGATATATTTAATAAGAATTAAGAATTTCGAAACTCATAGCTGCTAGTCAGGCTAAACTACAAAATAAGAGACATCAAAGTTGCCAAGGATGGTACATGGTACAATGGTACATGACAATCTGGAGTGGTCACCGGTACAAAAAAAAGAGAGTACATCTCTATAATGGGGATTCAGACAACAATAACAAATCTGCTAGGGGTTGGTACTCCTCACCACCCTCCATAAATTTTAAAAAAGGCACTTAACAGTCCTTCTCCACCTAGAACCAATATATCATTGTAGTGTGGTCTTTAGCAAATGGTATCATATGTTGGCTTCCCGCATCTCTCTACATTTCTCACAATGGTGAGAAATTTCAAGCAGGTGGAAGAGTGACATTTTTAAGGTGGCCTTGTGAGAGGGGATGGAGTACTACAGCTAGAAAATCTTATTACTGCAATGTAGGGCAGATTTAGTAAGCCAATGGACGGTTATTGCTCAGAGATAGTAAAATAGTAGTTTTGAGTTATTTAAATTCTTATGAGAAGACCAAAAATAATCCATTTACAAAAGCCAGAATTAATTGAAGGTTAACAAAAACGGACATGTACACCAAAGTATACTGAAAAATTATAAAGTAATGTTACAATATAACTTTTGTATTTAATAAACTCCTACAGCAAATAAAGCATTGTATTTAATAAGACTTTATTCTCCATAGGTAGCCTAGGATTGGGCTACACCTGTACCCTTAATTGTCTTTCCAGTCACTGTTTTTCTTTGTCAGCTGCCCAATACTCCATGTAAAGTGGTCGGGCTTGTACAGCCAGCAAACTTCCTTTCATCCTATTTTCTCTGGCCGTGCCAGCCCCTCTGTGCTCTGTCTCTCACACTGAGGTCACTTCAGCTTTTTGAAACTTTGATGAGTGTCTGGGTGGAAAATTACTGCCACTGTTGGCAGCACTCTGTGCCCCTTCCCCAGTACGCACAGGCTGGGGGCACCCTGTTTTATTTAGATACTTCCTGGCACACAGTACATTAATGCTGGGAGTGCATTCCTTATGTCCACAGCTAGAAGATAAACACGGTTATTAAATCGCAATTCAGATCAGAGCATGAAAACACTTTCCCTGACCAAGATCAACAGCAGCAAGCTGGAGATGACTGTGGAGTCCCCAATATTTTTGAGAAGCTTGTGGAAAGGTCTTTCTTTTAATCTCACCTCTTCAAGGTTATCCCAAAGGCACATTTAAGAATGTAAAGTGTATACCAAGCCAAAAACTTTTCTTCCTGTTTCAATTAAGTGGATAATGATTATAAGTCCGGTTGGGTTTTTGCTGCTAGTCAGCGCTGCATTAGGCCACATGCACACAGGCCGCCTGAGTTAAACACAGGAGATATAATCTGGGAAATATGTTCTTGTGTTTAATTCCGTTGAGATGCGTTTACATGCGTTTAAGCCAGTTTAACTGCGTAAAACAAGGCAAAACAGTCTCTGGACGCAGCAAATTCTTCTCTGTGTAAATGCAGCTAGACAGACTGCAGCTAGATACTGCTAAATGTCTAGTGTGCATTCAGCCATAGCAAAGCATTATGTGTTTCCAGGTACGTTTAGAAATTAGTTCCAAATGCACCTGGACTTATGTATTTTCATTGCTGTGTGTATAAGGACTTGGAGAGATTTCTCCTCAATTTTTGTCCCACTGACACGGTTTCACCAAACAGCAAATTAGTGAAAATCTGACAAGGGTTTCAGCTTCCCCTACGCTACTAAAGGAATGCATTTTTCTTTCTCTCTGTGTTGTTGTTGGGGAGTTCTTCTCACTTCATGTCTGGTAAAACTCTGTCAGCAGAACAGGAAGTGAGGGGAAATCTCTATAATGCATACCAGAAAAAAACCTGGAAGGGGTCCAGCCCTTCTCATTTCATTCTAAGAAGAAGAAAAATGTTTTGGCTGGACATATACTGTAACTGCCCTACGTGTCTTCCCCCCTTCCATACAGAATTCTAACACTCTGCAGAATGTCACAACTGCTTGTAGTGGACCACAGGTGGTGAAGTGTCAAAAGAAAACCCCCATAGTGCACAGGACAATCAGAGCTAGAAACATGGCGACTAGAATATTTCCCAACTTTGGGAGATGAGAAAGAGAGATACCTTTCAACACAAATTATGCATCAAAGGATAAACCCCTAGTTATGTGGTCAATAATAAAGTTTTTGACCATTATACTGATTTTAAAAAAAAACTGCAATTATCTAGAGATTGGATGAAAGGTTTGAGTGGTATAATACTTTTGGAGCTTAAAAAATACATTTATATAGATGTCCATACATCGGACCAAAAAGAGGGGCAAATGAGGAAGAAGGGACAGAGCGATAAGGTTCCAAAAAGGGTACAGCTAGAAGCAATGCTTTAATTGGCAACACAAATTTGAAACATGAAGTCCATTAAAACTTTGGCCATCTTGAGATAAACAAAAGAGCAGCAAGGCCTCTTCCAAACTTTTATTGACACAATGTAAGTTGTTTTGTATCATTATTCAAACAAATGTATAAAATGTTACCTATATAAGGTTGGTCACAAAGGCAACAGACCTAACAATATGGGGGTTGTGGTTATCTAATGGACACTGGTTGACATGGCCAAATTGTTAGCATGAAATGTCTATAAGGGCCTATGTGGATGAGCTTGCACTTCAGGTCCACTTGAAGCAGGTCAAATACAGGTCAGACTGAGGTTAACTGCAGGCTGAATGCACTTCTAAATGAATTCTGAATGATCTCAGAAGTGTCTCAAGTGATGTAAACTGATGCCATCCACACAAGCCCAAAGCCCATCCGCACAGGCTCCTGAGAACCCATGTGGGCTGCCATTGCTGGACATTGATTTTGAAAATGCAAGGTATCAGGTAGTCATGGAAACCCAAGGGCTTCAACATTTTCTCACTGTCTTGTAACAATTATGCAGATCAGCAGTACAGGCATTTCTCTGCGGTACCAAGATGTATGCTTGTTCCAGTAACTCAAGGAGTTGAGGCTAGGGACAGCCAGTCAACAATGAAAGCCTCCATATTTGGTTGAGTGCAGGTTTCCTTTAAAGTGTATGTCCAGTTAAAATGGAGAAGAGTAAAAAACCCGGCCAGGTTTTTGCTTCTATCTGGATCTCTGATAGAAAATCACCCTCACTTCCCCTCCTGCTGATAATGTTTTACCAGATAGGAAGGGGACTCCCCAAGAGCAACACAGACAGATATAAAAATGTTTTCCTTTAGTAGAGTAGGTAAAGACTAGAACCACTGTTACATTTTTATTTATGTGTCCCTGTTTTCCTCACTTCCTGCCTGGCTCTGTAATGGGGCCCCATGTAGCAGTACAAATCTTATAGGAGTTGTAATCCTTTTCTACTCCATCTGAAATCCATTCCAAAAAAAAAAATTAAAACTTTTTGGCTAAACATACTAGAATCTTTTTTGGCATTCAGATTTGCCAATCTCATAGGAAAACTGCGATTTTACTGACTTTTACACTCAGTTGTAATCACTATCAAATGCACTAATTCTGATACAATATAATCACTCAAGATCATGCAGTGCCATATATACAGTACAACCAGCAAAAATGCCCAAATAAGCAGGAGGAATGATGACCAATTAAATGTTTGTCTATATACAGTAGGC